ACGGCGTGGCTGCGGATGCCAGCAGTGAGGCGGGTACGGTTGCTCAGGGAGGTGTGTGTCTCGCTGGAGTCACGGGAAGAGGCAGGAGACAAGTGTCTCTGCTGCGCTTGCACAGTCACGCAAGCGTCTTGTCCTGCATCCCTCCCGCGCGCTCCGCTCGGGGGGAGCCGGGCGCAGGGTGGTGGATGTGGCTGCTGAACGTGCACCCCAACCCTCCTGGGTTTCCCTGTGTGGAAATCAAAGCCTCGCCCTGAGCTGTGGTCAAGGATGAGGAGCCCCAGGACCCCAAATCTTTTGACCTCTCCTGCCGTGTATCAGCGTGTGACTGCATGCAGAGCGAGGGGAACAGAAAGCTCCTCACATTAAAGCACAGGGCTCAGCTCCCACTTCAGGGCTGCTCCAGGTGGCAACACTGTGGGTTGGATCTGCAGTGGGAGGGTTGTCAGGGGCAGGAAACACTCCTTCCACCAAAACTTTTCTCCATTTGCATAATTTCTTTCTCTTCCTTTCTCATTTTCGGGCGGCCCATCTTGTGGGTGGCAGGGAAGGGTGTTGGGTACAAAGCATCATCACACCACCTCCTCATGGGCCCATTTTGCCCTCGCCCAAGCCGCAATGGGAAGCAGTTAGAGCTGTGGGCTACCCAGTGGTTATGTTTGTTTGGGGCAGAGGATGGTATTTCCTCTGTGGGTGGCTCAGATCTCTTTCTCCCATGCCATGTGAAACATCAGCTATGATTGGCACTGGGGAAGGGTGAAGATAGAGGTGTCTGATTGCAGGGGGCTGTTACTCTGCGCTGTATGTAATCCCATTAAAAGACTCCTCAGTTCTATGACAGCCTAGTAGGGTTACAGTTTGGGAATTCTGGCTCTAGGTTTCTTGGGAGGAATCATAGTATTTTTTGGTTTATGACCAGAAGGTTTATGCTTGGGTAGATGCTTCTGCCTGCAGCCAGTCCCCACACCTACTTTGAGGGCAGTGTCTTGCACCTCTGCTCCAGGCCCATAGCACATGACTCCTACCAGGATTTTGAACCATAGTCATCCTCTGAATGGGGCTTGCACCTCCTCCCCAGCCCTGCCAGAGAAAGTGCATGGGGAACAATAGCTCCCCCTGATCAGCAGAGGCCTGAGCCAGGAGATGGAGCCTCCTGAGTCCCTCTCCCTCTTCGATCACACCCATCTGGAGCTGGAGGGCCCTGGAGCTCTTCCAGCTGCAGGGAGTATGAGCCGCAGTGGGAAGGTATTTGCCAGTTGGGACGAGAGGATGCTAAACCAATTTGCATTTGCCCCGAGGACTCCAATAGTTGCCTTGCAACATTTACAGAGGATGAGCTGAGCCCAGTGTGGTTGTGCTGGGGTGAAGCCCCACTGGCAGGGCTTTCTGGAATTCCCGAGGAATGGGGTGCGGTCGGGCACTTGCTTATAACCTGGGCCTAGCTCTGCATTGCGTCTTCCTGGTGCAAGGCTCCGGGGCTCTTCCTGAGCCTCCCTAGCATGAGGCTGTGACAAGGACAAAGTGGTGGAAGCCAGGATGGATGACATGTCTGGGGTGAGCTCGTGGAAGGAGCTAGGCGAATCATCCCTGCCTCCCTGTCTCTGTCAGCTGATGCGCAGCAGCAGGAGGGAATGACAGTGGCTCCTGTGCTGTTTCCAGTGCTGCTGGTACACAACCAGGCCCGGGGGTGGAAGTGCCTCCAGCCCTCGCAGGAAGGTGCAGAGGGAATGCGGAGGAGCAGGGTGGGGCAGTGGAGTCCCCCTTGAAATGGGAAAAGGGCGGGTATGTCTGGCTGTATTTTAGGAACGTGGGATAGATCAAACGTTAAGTTTGATTCTTTTGAGGGAGGAAAACATAATAAGCTGCCGTCCCATGTGGAGGGGCTTGTGTGAGAAAGGTTGTGCCTGCTGTGGGGAGAGGCATGTCTGGTCCTTCAGCAGGCGTGTGTTGGGGTCCCCCTGTAGCCAGGAGTGGTGCTGGAAGGGTGGAAGCCCTGTGTCAGGGGAGCAAGAGCCTCTGGGGTTCAGCTGGCTGGTGGCAGGTGCTGCCGGTCTTGCTTTCTGCCAGGGAATGCAGTGGAGTCTCCCCTCAGGGTCCTCATATCAGCTTCATAGGGAACTGAAAAATGCTGTTTGTTTGGGTTTTTTTGCCTGGCTGATCACTCAAGACCTTGCTGCCAAGATCCCCTGCTGTGGTCTGTGTGGATGTGCTTGAGAAAGTCCTCCTCTCCTGGGCAGAGGAGCAGATAGCCGGGTGCTTCCCTGCCCTGGGCCAGTGGTGCTGCTACCCTTCTGTCCTTTTGTGTGTGGTGTGGTCACACGTGAATATGGAGACACACGACCCAAAAACAAAGAGGACTGGAGCAGTCTTCACCTTGGGAGTGTCCTTGGCTGGTTTCTTTGAGGGGTCTGCCTTCCCTGCCCGTTGCACAATCCTTGCTGCCTCCTACCAAGTGAGACACACCTTAGGGTAAGATTCTGAAACCCTTGCCAATGAATAGCTGGAGGGAGGACAGGAGCACAGCCAGCACAGCCTTGCATACTCCCTGTGCCACCTCAGCAGTGGCTGATGGCAAGTGGACCTTGCAGCATCCCTGGTGCTCAAATCATACATTGGTGGGAAGCTCCAGGGGCAATGGATGGTGAGATTAAGGGTGAGGCTGATTTTGGAGGAGTGTGAGGAGTGTGTGTGTGGGGAGGGGGGGAATGTCCTGGTTGCAGGGCATTC